ACCGGCAAAGCTGACCATCCGGGATGTGTCGATCTGAGCATAATAGAGCAATGAACTTTGTTCCGCATATCTTGTGAAAATGTTTCATCGGATAAACCATCCAATACAAAACAAAAGAAAAAAACACAATTGAGCACCAGCGAATCTGCAATACAAACAATTACTTGTTATCTGGACTCGCAAACCATCATCACCATAAGATGGTAACCAAAAATTCAGGGGTGAAAAGTCAGCACATACCAGGATATGAAGCACGTTGTGAGATAAATGCGAGAATGGAGGATAAAAGAAGTGGAATATAAGTAGCATGGAAATCACTCACAGACTTTCTGAAACAATCTTATAAGATTAAAACTCATCTATTATTTGACGGGAAACAATTCTTCCAAAAAAAATAAAGCTACATAGCTTACCGGCGGTGTGAAGTCTTGGTGCGTATAAGCTTGTTACGGAACTACTTTCGGCATTCAGGTCAACCGGCTGAACTTCCGAAGCCACCGGCCCACTGGTATGATGCTGACAGGATATAGAAGGGACGCGACGCACTGGTAGAGGAGTGTTTCGCAGACGAACACCTTTCGAGGAGAGCAAAGGAGATTGCACGGGGCTCACATTCATCGTATTTACACCAGTACCTTGCTGTTTTAAGCGTGAGTTCTGGGCCAATGAAAGCATCTTCTGTACTGCGTGAGGCGACTCGACACCTGAAGCACACATAAGTGCATTTAGCTTATCATCATTCCGGATCACCATTTAAGGCAACTATTCGATCTGTGGAAGGAGCTTTCTGTATGAGGACTGTGTGAACGGCTTCCTAATGTGCCTGCGCGTAAGTACCCTTGGAAACTCTGCAACCAACCATCTACAGATCATGGAAGTCACAGAAGACCGTTAACAAAGAGCCCAACGGACGCACAAGCGACAGGAGAAAATGTTACTAATATAGCATTTCTCCCAGAAATACAAAGAAAAGCGAGGGAAAGAGTACCAGAATCAACAACCCACCCACAAGTGAAGCAGCTCCGATTGAGACAACTATAAAAAAATTCGACAGTGCACGGCTGCCGGTGTGAAAATGCGTTTCTTGCATAGTTTGCCTGTAGGTTTTTTTTGCTAACTGGATTATTTTTTTTTTCTGCAGATGCTTCTAGCTAAAAGAATAGAGAATGACCACCACCACCACTGTCAGAAATTGTTACAATGACTCCCAACAAACTCGGTCGTGGCCACGCTCAAAAAAATTTAGCATTTTAGATGCTTCGTTGCGGGGTTACGTCAAGTTTCATGTATTCGTACGTGGGAGGAACGTGCATGCCATTTTCACGTGCGCTCCCAAACACGGTCCTAGGCCACACTCAGAAAATTTTAGTACTCTAGCTATCTTGGTTGCGACATTACATCAAATTTCACGTGCTCGTACGTGAGAGGAACGGGGAGGTTTTTTTTTGTGTGTGCCCAAACGAGTTCGGAGGTCAATCTCTGGAACTTTCAGCAGTGTAGCTGCTCCAGTTGCAGGGTTACGACAGATCCACGAGTCCGCACGTGGGAAGAAGCGTAAAGGTTTTTTACTCGCGTTTGCTCAAACACGGCCGTGCGCCACGTTCAGCAAATTTGAGCACTGTGCTATCTTGGTGGGTCCCGAAGCGAAGCTCGGTACAGAAGCACATACAGACACACACACACACACACACACAAACACACACAGACAATTCCTCGACAGTATGCGTTTTCTGCATTACATAAATGCAAGAAATGCTTAAAAACTCAGAAGTGGGACGAAAGTACGTTGTGATGAAACGAAAGCTAAT